GGTTTCCCAAGGCGACCCTTTAAAGGAACGCTGAAAATATTCAGAGGAAGAAGTTAGTTGAGTAGGATCTTATCAAAAACTGTCATAATATTAAACTTTTGGGGGTTGATTTCTGACAAAAAAAAGCAATTTTTAAAGAAAAAAACGGAGTAAGAATGGACGATCATAACTACAATTTGCTAAGGAAAGGAAACAAACACTGAGCTACATTTTTCCTCTGATTATTATTTCATTCCACATGAAGGACACAGCTAAAAATAATGAAAGATACTGCAGCACCAACCACCTCATGTTCCCAGTTAGAAGTCCAATTGCTGCTAAATTCCCACAAGCCTCCCTCAGGGGAATGTGTCCGCTTGGATTCAGCGACTTGGAAGGTTGAAGCCGGAAACCCTAATGATTCAAGCCACAGCCATAAAAATCCTCCAACCATAGAGCTGTTTGTCTGCGAGGATGAGTCTTTTCACAGCCACGGTGCTCATTTGCCTCGCTTCATTTGGGTCCAACAGAGAGCTGCTCTAAAATCCAAGAACAGATCCAGCTTTCAGACTCAGTTATATTTCACCTTTTTTTTTCACTGATTATAAACTTTGCTTAACCTAATAGGAAACAGAAGGTGCCAAACTTGTCTCCAAAAACAACACTTCATGGGAATCAGTTTTAAGGAAAACCACACCACAAATCTGCACTTTATGGAAGAAAGTCTTTATGGATTTAGTGAGAGCGGGAAGAAGAAAGCTATTGTTGAAAGTCGTGTGTTTAGCTTGCCTCAGGTCCATCAGGGAACAAAGCAGACATTTAGAGGAGGATACTCATATTCAATTAAACAAAATTTAAAAAAAATTTTAGCCTCTGTGCTAAAAAGCCACAGCACACATCCCTGAACTTCTTCTCCCTACCAATAAAGTGGTGGCAGTGTTATGCTGTGGGGATATTTTTATTCTTTGGTGAAGCTGGAGTGAATGGTTGAAGGTGAGGGCTAAATACAAATGGAAGCTACATCGTTATTTGTAAAAAAAAAAAAAAAAAAAAAAAAAAAAAAATTTTTTGCCATTTTCTGTCTACTTTACAAATATGTGTTACTTGGTGGATGTATGAACACTCATACAAAACGCTCAGTTTTTTTTATATATATATATATATATATATATATATTAGTAGCTACTATTGAAGTTTTACAAGCAAAACAGGATGTCAAACATTCAAGGTTAAGAAATTATCACATCTTTGCTCTCAGTTTGTTTGTGTTTAATTAAACCTGTATTAGAGGGGAGTTTAGGTGCAGAAGGAAAAAAAAAAGTGAAGTAGATGTTGCATAAAAATCCGGAGCAGTTTGGCAACGTTTGGTAGAACATCTTGTACTGCAGTTAAAGCGGCAAGTCTTTTGGATCATGTTTCAACCACTGAAGCTTCTGCTGATTCTTATTTACTCAACAGAACAAGATCTGTCAGATTTGATGAAGGGGGGGGGGGCTTAAACAGCCATTTTGTGAAGAGCGAAATAAACAGGTGTCCTGTAAAATTAGGAAGTGTCAATCTGATTTTCTTTACTATTTTTTCTACATCATATGGTTTACAACCTGGTAAATAACTTATTTATATCAAAGGAAATCAGGTTTCTAGTTTTCTGGATGGAAGCTCCTTTCTCTCTCTGCAGTGTGTTGCTCTAACCCTTCCCTAACTGGAAGCTGAGCTGTAAAGTCATTTACTGACATCTCCTGACAGATGGAAGAAATACAACCTTGTTATGATGCACTGTCCAGTAATATAAACTAATGAACTGAGAAACTGTGTGGATTATGTTGCAGATATTTGAGACATTACATTTTAAACGATGTGGTAATAATAGACAAAGAGAAAAAAAAAAGGTTTCCCCCTTAAAGATCCCATCTTTTGCTTTTTTCCCCCAGATCTGGATCTGATCAGATTATCAAGCCTATCAAGCTCTGGTAAAAAAAAAAAATGCATTAGTTAATAGCTATTTATTTAGTTAATTGGGGAAAAAAAAAACAATCCTAAACAATCCTTAAGAAGAAGACCGCCCTGCCCTCAACAAGTAATCACTTTCTTGGGAAAGCCAAGTTCAATGCCAGGGGAATCCCAGATTACTAACTGACCAGAAAAAACTTCAATAAAATCACTTTAACAGATGCTGTTAGACAAGATAAAGTTGGGAACCCAAAAACGCCAACATAAGGCACACCGACCTAAAGCCTCGCCAGAAAGGAAAACAAATCTTCCCTTAGCAAAAAGTAGTTTATTCAAGTATACTAAAAGTATACTAATTTCATACTTAAAATCAGACAGTGCACCCAGAGTTTACTTATTCTAAACTATATTTCATATACTTAACAATAGTATAGTCAAGTGTACTTGACTATACTATTGTTTACTTTATTGTTTACTAAAGTATACTATATTTAAGTATACTTTAGTAAACTTAAAAATGTCCCAATTTAGTTCGAAGAAGTATTAATTTAGTAATACTTCAAGTACACTAAAAGTACATTGTTTGGTATACTTTCTAAACTTAAACTTATGCTTAAGTATTCTTAATAGAATTGACTTCAAGTATACTACTTTTTGCTAAGGGTTTGACACTTTTGCTCTAAAAACTGTGACATTCCTAAGGATTTAGGACCGAATTGAAGCGCAGTGAAAGCCATTATTTACCTATGGTAATACATGGAACAAAAGGGAACCTTCTCACCAACCAGAATTACTCCAAGATCCAATCAACAACCCATCCAGGTGGTCACAAAAACCAAGAACCTCTGTGGCACTGCAGGACTCATTGGTCTCAAATGGACTTCCTGGAGCAAAGAAAAAACTGAACGAAGGGGACAAAAATTCTCATCCACTAATCGCAACAAATTATCTAGTATATCTAGAATTATCTTCCATAACGTATTTTGTGGAATGACAAGCCAAAAGTGGAACTTATCAGGAGGCGTGCATGCTCTTATATCAGACCTAAAGTTGATAAGTTGTAAAGTCGCCATATTTGTTGGAACTATAAACGGTGCTGCCAGCAAGAGTACATCCAGAGAGAAGTTAGGCAGCGCTCAAGCTCAAGGACGTTTGGTTTAAACCGGAGGTCTTCAACAGGGGGTCCATGACCCCTAGGGGGGTCCAGACAGACATTACATGGGGGTGTTTTGCTTGATTACTTTTTTAAATATATATATATATATATATATATATATATATATATATATATATATATATATATATATATATATATATATATTTCTCCCCCCCTTCCTGCATTTTTTTTCCTCTAATTGAAATGTCTTTATCATTATCATGAATTCAACACAGTGAAAGAAACCGATAAATGGAGGCAGAAGATGTCTTTCAGGCATCAATGCTCACATTCAGCGACACACAGAAGCTCTTTCAAGCTGGGCACCGTTTCATTCACAACACCTGTCCCATCAACTGTTAAAAATGGAAGACAAAAAAAAAAAAACACTACTCTGCAAAGTGAGCTCCATTTATCACAAATACTTCATAGTACAATTTGCTTAAACTACATCTAAACTCGAGACGACAATTACATTCTCATATAGGATAAGGTTGTTTTAGATATTCACTTACCATCAATCAATTACTGACCTTATATTGTATTCGGTCTGTTTGTTTCAGTCTGGTATTTAAGACTGATGTTTTAAACATTTAGGTAAAACAAAAATATAGAAAAATGTCAGAAGTCTCCAGTGATTTTTTTAAAGCTCCATGGATCAGAAAGGATCAGTTGGAAATATATGATTAAAGAAAAAAAAAAAAATCACAAAAAAACCCCCAAAATGCAGAGCCATGGACCATTTAATGATCTTCAGAAGTAAGTTAAACAACCATTTATGTTACAGTTTAAAATGTCCTCATGGAGGAACAGCAAAATACACTCAAAATGAAGGTTGATCAAAAGACATTTTTCATATTAATAACTGTTTTAAGACTGTTTTTTTTCTTTCTTTCATTTGTATATCAAAAATTATAAGTGCCTTCAACATTACCATGAGAGTTTTTCAGCTTGCAGTCATAGAAATATTTACACCACAAAACTGACAAGCATGGTTTTACTTTCAGCATCGGTTTCACTCTTTATCGCCGCTTTGTTTTGTTGCACAAAACAAAAATAAAGACCCTGAATACAGACAACTGTAAAGTGTGTGAGTGTTGGGGGGTGGGGGGGGTACACAGAGTCACATAATAGACACATGGGTATTTACAGCTTGGCTCACAGAGACAGACAGGAGGGAGGATGGGGGCAGATGATCAACACATTAGTTTGAGTCACATTCTTTGCCTTTATGATCCTACCTTACAATTTAAGATTTAAAAAGAACATGACATACTACAGGTGGCGCCCTCTAGTGGCATAAAAAAATCTGGTATGAATTCTTCCGTATATAATCGGATGGATGGATTTCAGTCAGCAGGGGGCAGTACAGGACAAGGTGATTTTTAAAAGACAAATGCAACCTCTACAGTACAAAAAGTTCCTTCAAATGAATTTGCAGCCTGCTTGTTAAAAAGCACTGCAGTAATAGAATATCAACAAAAATAAAACAAAGACATGAATCAATGTGCCATCTGAACAGCAAAATACAAATTTAAATATGAAAATAGGTTTAGGTCACATATCTTTTTTTTTTAAAACACAGATGAGCATTTGCAACAGATATTTTGGCACAGAATCTTGTTTTTTTTTTTTTATTGTTTTTTTCTGCATATCTTCCCTCGGATTCACATTCGTCTCCCAACCAAAATAATAAACGATTAAAAAATAAATAAGAATGTGATAAGGACGAACAAAAAGCATACTTAAAGAAACAAGGAATTCACTTTCTGTCTTGTAAAATAATTTGCTTGGTCTCTCTATTTTTCAGTTTCAGTCTTTTTTATATATTTACATTATTTACAGTCACACAATTGTCCACGATAACCTCGAGATTCCAGAAGATGCAAACGAAAGGAAAATAATTAAATAAGTCTCTTTTTTTTTTTTACCGTCCCCTATTGAGGCATTGCGCGTAAAATGTACAACTCCACGGGTCCCATCATGAGTTCCTTGGGGCAGGGAACACGTTGAGATGGAAACTCGGGTTTGGAAATGTCACAGAAACTTGCAGAAAGTGTAGGAGGAAACCATCATGACTGATGAAGACCAGAATCGCCTCCATCAATCCGTTGGCAATAGCTTCCTTTGACTAATCACTAGAATAAATTCATAACATGTATCAATTTATGCACAAATATGTACAGAGTTCATAAAATCTTGTCAACATAGTGCAATGAAATCTCAAGTTTAAAAAAAAAAGGAAACAAAAACATCACAATCACTTATGAGGGTAAAAAACGTCCCATCTGTAGGTCTGGATCCACAGCTTTATGAATGTCATGAATTACAAAAGGCTATGCAGAACAGCTCAAACATGAAAAAAGGAAAACTGCAATCCAAAATGATCATCAAAAATCACCGTTCAACCCTCTGCATCCTATTTAAAAAAGGTCTAGTTTTTGGAATTCATCATCACTGGGTGATTTAAGGACTTGGTGAAGTGAAGGAGGAAACAATTGTATTTTTTTCTGTTCGTCTTTTTGTTGTTTGTATTTTTTTTTTTTTTTTTTTGAGTCAAACTCATATGGATGAAAAATCTCCAGTTTCCAAACTGGTTCAATCCAAAAGGGCTGGTGTTGGCATTGTTCAGAAAAAAATAAATAAAAAAGAAAATGGAGGTAATCAATTAAACAGAGGCTATAACAATCATAAGGTGAGGGGAAATGCTGGAGATGCTGTTGAGAAGGTCCGGAGCCAGGCGTGAAAGATGGCTTTCCGAGAATTCACACGGCGGGAATATTTGCACCACATAAGCTGCCTGTAGTTGACATGAAAACAGTTTGAGAAGGAAATCATCATGAACAACAGCGAGAAGAAAAGCTGCAGTTTAGAACAAACCTGGTTAGAGCCGGGGTTGGGTACATTAATGATGCCAGCTGCCTGTTTGGCTTGCAGGTAAGTAATGAAGCCACTTTTCAAAGCTTGGGTTTGACCAAGGACATCTTCTTGGTCTCGACCACAGGGTAGAGCCAGGAGCAAACAGTAGTCATTTTCCATCTGCCAGAAATAGGTTCAAAAAGACATTTTACAACAATTCTATAAATCTGAGGATCCATGTAATCTATTCAATGCTTAATGTTTCTGGCTCTCAGCTAAAATACCAAGGTACTCACAGTCATCCTACGTGCTACGCTATCCAACTGGGAAGCCTCAAGCCTCATCCTCTGGACAATACGGAGAAGAGAACCTCCCTCCGGGGGTGGAAGGGAGCGCTGGGCCAGCATGGTGTTTCCAGACACAAAGTGTAACTGGACTGCAGCCTGGTCGTTTTTCAGCGCCAAGAGGCCTTGCCAAACTATAGGATATTTCTGGGGGGAAAAAAAAGATAAAACAGTGTTTAATTATTTCAATTAGAGCTTCTCCTTTGCTACAGATTTAAAATCATTTTTCAAATGTGATAACTAGAGTTCCACCTTAAAGGTCGAACTATCCAATGGGAAGTTTAAATCTTTCTCAAGATCTGTGAGTGCGCCATAAACAAGGCCTACCTGGTCTTTATTACAACTATGGAGTGGATTTTGTTCCATCAAATTTATCCAGAATTTACAAAATGAAAAATGTTAAAGTAACTTTTCCATTTTTTTAGATTTTTTTTTTTTTTTTTTTTTTTTTTTTTTTAACTTCCACTTGCAAATTGTGTTCTTTACTTGTGACATAATGGCACAAAATTCACCTCATTAAAATTTACTTTCATGTTGTAGATTTTCATGTGGGAGCATGACTCAAAGTTAGCTCTTTTCAGCTTCACTAGCTGTGCTTTCATTAAATATGCCGCAAACATAAGAAGTTCAGTTGAATGACGTGAAGAAGTTTGTTCACATGATAATAAACCATAAAAACATTCTGCATGACTGGATACAAATAGTGTCCCATTACAGTTTTGCAAAATACACCAATTTCAATAATCAGCCTCAACCTAGCTCAAAAAACATTTTGCACTAGCCTCTCCATTAAATAAAAAAAAAAAGCTCACATTCAAAATATGGCCATGTTTTAATGAAGAGACTTTAATTTTATAATTAGGCGTATTGTATTGCAATAGAAAATCTGCTGGTGAGGTAATTACGAAGGATGTTAGAGGAAACATTGAGATAATTAAAAGCGAATGCATTTTAGATTTTGTACATGTCTGCATTTCATTTAAGTTGTGGGTTAGAGCAAGAGGCTATAGCAAAGTTATTCAGTTTTATCCTTTAAAGAACTCAATCTGTGTGTGCAAAGGAAGATAAATGGTTTGGAAATTCCTGAGCTAGGGTAAAGATACTGCCCTTTTAAAAAAGCCAGCTGTGCTAACCATTCTAACCGCCAATGTTAATCATTTCAAGGCAGTATTGATGTCCTCCACATCCTAAAATTGAAAAAAAAATAAATCTTGCTTCTTTCTACAACACTTTGTGTGAAGTTGCCTCTATTCAAATATTGAAACTGATGACTGCTAAGACGGGTAGGGCAGATAGAATATGTTCATCCTGTTGTTATACCTTCTTATAGTTCAATTTTCAAACATACAGTCGTGGTTGAACAACATGCAACATACCATTCCATTAAAGACGGCTAAATAAATGTAAAGCGAAACAAGCAATAAGATATGTATATATAATAATATTTTTTCAGTTTGTGCTATTTGAATTACTAGTGTGAATGTATAATTTTCTTAACTGGGAGGGTATGCGAACTTTCAAGCACAACTGTATATGCTGATGGTTAATTTGTCTTACTTTTAACAGTTGAACCATGTCGATGGACCGATGTCCGGAATGTTCCAGCTTGGAATCATGTCGTAGCTGTTTTGGGCTTGATGAGGGCGCCGTTGGTGGTGGAGTAAGGAGGAAGGTGCAAGGGCCTTTCTGTAGCGACAGATCTGGCTTGTGAGAGAGACCCATAGGTGACATCAATGGGGACTGGTATGACGGAGAGACTGTCTCCCCTGATATTCGGGAAATGTGTGATAGTTCCGAAGAGGTAGTGTGACGAAGATGAGGGCTTTCAGGTGTGGAATCACTTCCTCCCCCATGTGGCTGACTTAATTTTCCTCTGGTTCCCAGCTCATGGTCCGTAGGGATCTGATTAGGAAAAAAATGAATCACGTTAACGAAATCAGGGCACAATTTGGGGTCATCTGTAAAAAAAAAAAAAACTATTCTCACAATTGACAGTTGTTACCTGTGTAGATGAAATGCCTTGGTTAGCCAGATTGTGTCCTGGAAACTGGGATGGGAAGCCCCGCATGTCTCGATATACTGAAAAGTTGCTTCCTCCTGGATGCATTAGCTGAACTCCGTGAGGGTGAGAAGACATCAAAACAGGGCTAGATGCATGGACTCCTCTAATTCTACTTTCATTGGGGCTTAAATGCATTAGCTTCCCTTCTGGTGAGTTGAGAGGCTCTTTTGCAGAAAAGTCTATGCCCTTTACCAATATAGGACTTCTTGACGGTCCAGAGATGTTGCTTGAAGATGTTATTGCACTCTCTGAGTTGCGGGACTGCCTTGCTTCAACAGATGCCTGTTCTCCTAGTTGCTGGTGCATGAGTAAGCGCTGGTGAATTTCTCTGTACTGGTCCATGCGAATGCCTGGGTGAAGTCCTCTGTGTTCACTATGTGCCACCATTACATCTGACGGAAGATGGGAAACTGAGGATCTACTATGAGCTTGGTTAAAGTGTCTTGGCTCTTCTTCACATGCACTGTTTCCACCAGCTGACATTGATCTTTGAGGACTTGAATGAGACTGTAAAACCATATCTCGAATTATATTAGGCTGTGGAGTATTTGAGCTTTTTGTAGATCCTGGATGCGAAGAAGGCAAGCAGTCTCCTCGCCTTCCATAATTTATCCCAGACAAAGATGTGCTGTTCATTCTGGCTTCATGAGCTAATGACTGAGTTACACTATGAGGCTGGATTATGACGGATGACTGTTCTGAGTGGGAGTGATGCATGCTGGAAGGGTACGTGGACAGCGCTGGCATACCTTGACTGAAAACAACAGATGTCCCAATGGGAGAGCTGCTGGATGGACAGGTTTTGACATAAGGTGACGGGGAATGACCAGCTGTTCGAGGAGAATGGGGTTCTTGCTTGAGGTGTAAACTAGACCGATCGTTTGTGTTGCCAGGGCTAGGACTCATACGTGTTCCAGGGATAGATGGGTGGTGTGGACTCATGACAGGACTTAAGTTCGACTGCTGAACAGCTTTGCTAATGTCCATCTTTTTTGTTAATGTCTCTGTCACTAATCCTCTTTTGCCATGCTGCTGCTGTATTACAGCTTGATTGTACATCAAAACTTGAGAGGAGCTAACAGGCGGCTGGAACATCTTCACAACACCTGATGAAGTTGTATGGTAGGGCGTTTCAGATTTGTCACATACAACACCTTCTTGCTTGATACTTGAAATAACAGGTTGAGAACTGTAGGACTGGTTGGTCAAAAGGACTCCTGTGTGCCCATAGCCAGCTGGAGTCGAAGGAGCTTTTGGGTTAGGTGACTGAGATGAAGTTATGATAGGGTCTTGCTTTAGCTGAGATTTGGGCACAGATTGTTGAAATTCCACATCACCAGGAGGAATCTGGCTTATTTTGGCTCTCATCCTGTGAGGTCCTTCTGTTTTTTGACCAGAATAACTCAGAACAACTACACCTTCTGATGTGTTCACCCTCAAACCAGGACTAGAACCTGTATGGTAGGGAGTAGACTCAACAACAGAGCGCCCTCTAGAGACATCATCTGGTATTTCCACACTATGGCAGCGGTTGTTCTCATTGGAGTTTGATCTAATTTTTTGCTTGGGAATGGTCAGACCAATACTTCGATTACTTAGCGAAATTCGTGGCGTTTCTTCTGTATCATAAGGCATTGGAATTCTACTTATTACTGAGGTAGTCGGCGACATAATTGTATGAGGTTTCTTTTCCCCACAATTCTGTTGGGATTCTGTAAGTGGGGATGGCTTATGGTGCAATGACTTAGGTGGGATTAGTGGCCTTTCTTCAAGATGTAGCTGTCTTGAACCAAGTGCATCAGTGGGATTTTCGTTCTCGGACATCTTTGAATGATCAGACAGTGCAGATGTTACCATAGTGGTAGTCATAGCATTGCTGTTGGTTGCTGACACATATTTGGGTTCCATTAATATTTTTCTCAGAGTACTGGAACTAGGATCAATATCAGAGGCCTTGGTGTCAGGAGGCATTGGGGGATTAGCTGCAGGGGTTCCAAGCGCAGTTGATGGAGGTATTGTGGGAGTAACTACTGTTACATGACAGGAAGGATTAACAAAGATCCTGCTTTCTTCAGATCGTTGAGGCCAGTCAGGAGAAAGTGGCATTTTGGCCGGTCGTAACAACGGAACATTAAGCTGGGAAACTGGTGTAGAATTAGTAGGGCTGAAGGAAAGACTACTTGATTCTACCTTTTGGAGAGGCTTTTTAGAAGCAGCGCTGTTGTTTGTACCTAAATGAAAGGCAGATTCTTTGGGAACAGGTTGTTCCACTTCAGGCTGCTCTGCCTCTTTGGGGTTGTCTACTGTTATAGCACTTGTAACATCACGTCTACAAGTTGCAACAGCTGTAACCACAGAAGTCACTGAAGACACTCCAGCTGAAACAGTCACTGCTTTTGAGTCAGCAGTTTCTGGATCTTCTGGGATCGACTCAGGTAACTTTACTGGTGATGGTTCTGACTGAGAAACTTCATCAGCAGAGTCCCCCTTTTTGCTAGCTAAACCTTTACGACTTCTTGATTTCTTTGGGGTTCTGGCTCTGACTTTATTTGTCTTCTTAGGTGGGTCAAGAAGAACTGGTTCATTAGCTGCCTTTAACTCTGTCATTAAAGGTTTTGGGCTTTGGGTTTGAGAGTCATCATCTAGGTCTCCAGCTAGGATATTATTAATGGCCATGTGTGTTTCTGGCTCCATGATGTCATTGGAGGAGGATGAGGTGGAGATCACAGATTCAGGGGTAGGAACAAGAGCAGAGTACGTAGGAGCAGCCGTGAAGCTATCTGCTTCTCCACAAGTTTCTTCAGCTGTAATGGAATCAATAGCAGCAGCAAGTTCTGTTTCACTGGCGGGATTTGCTCGCTTTTCCTCTTCAACTTCAACTTCTGGTTCTACTATGACAGGGGGCAATACACTAGGTTGCCCAGAAGGTGGTTCTTTATAAGGTCTTGGAGGCTGGTCAGCTGTAAGTTTGGCAATATTTTCAACTGCCTGCTCCAGCTCCATCTGTCGTGCTAAAAGAACAGCAGTTGGATCAGCAGGAGGTTCAGATTCTGATAGAGTGTCTTCGTTTTCTTGTGTATTAGTCTCTTTGGTATCTTTTGAAAAGTCCATCTGTGCTTCCTCTATCTCTTGCACCACAACCTTGCCTTTTGAAATATTTGCTGTAAAACTATCTGAATCAAGATCCTCTGAGCGAAGTAAACCTTTTACGTCATCAACACTAACCCGAATTTCCAAGTTTTTCAGACTGTGTGATTTGTCATCAGTTAACTGTTTAGTATTACGTTTCAACCTTGGTGTTTTAACTTTTACATTTTTTTCAGGTTGTTTTCCCCTCTCACATGAGCTGGTGTCTTTCTTCTCAACAACAGCCTCAGAAGTTTTTTCAACAGAATCTTTTTCTTTTCTGAGCATTGGCGTTGCATTTTCTGCCCTGTCTGATAGCTTGCCAGCAGGTTCTGTGTTGGCTTTAGGCTTAAGCTCTAATTCATCGTTGCTTGACTGATCAGCTTGTTCAGTTGACAATAATTTGTTCCCAGTTGATTTGTCTATTCTACTTCCCTTTTTGTTTGGAGTAGAGGAAGGTATTGAACTTTGTTGGAGTTTTTGTGTACGGGGTGAACGCCATCCCTCAGAGGGTTTCACAGCAGCTTCTGCAGTATTTGTCATCTCTCCAGCCTCTGTGTCAACTTCAGCTGTTTTCTTTTGGTCCCCTTTTACTGGTGATAACTCTACAATTCGTTTGACACCTCTCTTGGGAGGGCGTCCCCGCCTGGTATTAGTCTGAACTTGAACCTCTTGCTGTGTTTGGTCTTTGTCTGCCCCTCTTTTGCGCATGCAACGTGGCGACTCTGTTACCTCTTTCCCAGCTTGTTCATCATCATGTAGAGTGGCATAGACTGACCTCACATTCCTCCGTCGTGTTCTCCCAACAATCAAACTCGACTCAAGGTTTTGATCTGAATCTGATGCGTGTATGGGAGATTTTGATGTGTTTTTTGATTCATACAATTTAGGTGCTTCTGCTCTAGGAGACGATGCCCTTTTGAGCTTTTCTCTGTCAATCCGTTCACTTTTCCGTGTTGCAGGTTTCTCTTTGCTGATAATATTGGTTGGTTGTGTGTTACGTAACACAGCTTGGGTTTTTGCCCTTTTACCCTTGGTTTTTCTGCGAGTAGGTAATGGTTTCACTTCAGCCACTAGCTCTGGCATACATGGCTCACTATCTGTTTCAGTTTTCTGAGATTCCTCAAATTCTTCTGCGGTCTGGTTTTCAATATCAGGCTCTGACTTACTCACTTCAGAGCTTTTTTCCATATTTGAAGAATCAGAGCGAGCAATTTCCCTTGTGTCTTTTTCAAAGGCACTTGATAAACCAGCAGGTGTGTGAGGCTTGTCTTCCGCAACATGTTGCTCAACCACCAAACTATTATCACTTTCTGTTTGGGGTTCAGTTAACTCAGCTTTTATTTCAGTTGCAGAGTCAGGTTCAGAAACTGTAGGTGGAGGACTTATGGTTACTTCAGGAGAAGCTAATTTGATATTTTCAACAAGAGTAGAATGAGACGGGCACCCATCTACAGCTGGTTCAACTTTTTCCTCTTTAACAAATGACACTGATTGATCAGTGGATGGCGCTACAATTTCCTTCTCTGTTAAGGCTGTTTCTTTAGGAGAAGGGAGGAATGGTGTCATTTTTACACTTATTGGAGGGCTAACTGATTTTTCACAAGCCTTTGTGGGTGGCTCATCTTCCTTTTCAGATGTCACATGATCACAGCTCAAAGTTTCATCTTTTTTAATCTCCATCACTACAGGATCACTTTCAGGGTCAGGTGGGGGTTGGTCCTTATCTTTTTGTTGCTGTAGTTCTAAAAATCGACTATGGAAAAGCACAATGGGCTCTGTGGAAACATCAGCCCCTCCAGACTCTGAATGCGTTTCTATAGCAGCACCCTTTGTAAAAGGGCTACCACTCACAGTTTCGTAATCTTGGTCTTTACGTTCAAGGCGTTGCAGTCTGCGTGAATCCTGCTCAAAGATTGAGCTGTGCAAGAAACGGGAGGCAAATAATTCCTGACGTTCTTGGTCCTGTGGCTTGAGCTCCTCCTTTTTATCATGCAACTTTTCAACAGAATCTGTACGGATCTTCTTCTTTTTCATGTACCATGAAGGAATGGGTCGAGGCGCCAGCACTGCCTTATCCTTCTCGGAACAACTATGTGACACCGGAAAACGTGAGGGGAGAAAGGACCAATTATCTTCCCTTGATGAATACAAGGTCTTGGCTCTTTCAAGGAGTGCTTTTGTGTCAGGAGTTATTGTTTTGTCTAATGCAAAGGAGTAAAACTTATTTTTCTCCAAGGAGCCTGAAAGCTTGAGGTCTGTCATTCTCTCCTCACGATCTCTGAGAATGTATGACAGAGAACTACTGGATTTGGGAGAGATGTGTTTGTTGTCTCCGTCGTCGTCTGAATCAGACTGCAATTCTCCAGGCTCCAAATCTTGGCTAAGACGTTTGTGGATATTTTCCCGTTTAAGAGTGTCATTTGGGAATGTCATTTCCATTCTGAGAGAATCTGATTTTATTCTCCTTTCCCAATGTTGCATTACTTCATCATCAAATCCAAGCAAGGACGATTTTACCTTTGGGAGAAGATTGTTCGAAGACTGGAAATTTCTAGTGGTCAAACTGAAATGATTTTTTAACGATTCTGTGCGTGAATACCTTTCATCAGTCGAAGGGGAGGATTTTTTTTCCTTTTTTGCAACCGACAGGGAAATGCGGGAATCATCATCCTCATTTTCTGAAGACTGACCAGCTCCTATGGAAGATGGCATACCATAGCTGTTTTCATTGAATTCCTGGGAGCTTGGAAAGTCATTCTCTCGTTTTACTTTCCGGACGTCGAGGTCAAAGCTCTCAAGCTTTTTTCGTTTACTAGAAGAGAAGTCTTCATTGGCAATGTCCTGATTTAATTTTGCAACTTCATGCTGGATATAGTCCTTTTCTGAATCACAAGCCTCATTATTTGGCGACCTTTCAAATTTGACAATTTTATCAGCATCCCTAGGCTTGGGTAGGAGCCATCGACTTTGCTCAATTTGTTTTGCGCAAACAGACTGGTTAATGTTCACACAATGTTCATCGCCATCATAGTCTCTGCACTTTGCACTTCCCAGTTCATTTTCAGACAAAAGCTGTCTCTGTTCCTTTAATTCATCCATATCAAAGCTGCCATCATCTAATATCTTTGTGAGACTGGAGCAGTTTTCAGCTTTTAAACCCTCCAAATCCATTCTGAAGAAGGGAGAATTATTTTGTGATGTAGAGTCTTCAAGCAACTCTCCAAAATGCGACTGCCCCTCCAGAGGGGGGCCTGGAGGTTTGCCTTCACAGTCCCGTCCATCTTTAGGACTGGTAACCGAAACCATCCGGACAGATTTATCCTTGTGTTGTTCTTTTTTATGCAACCCTCTGATCAAAAGGACTTTCTCTAATCCTGTATCCTTTGTGTTGTTCCACAGTTTGTAAAGTCCAGCCTTACCAGCATCTTCTTCGTTAGATCTCCTTTGACGATCAGCTCTTCCACATTCTTCAAAACGCCTTTTTCTTGCAGCCAAACGATCAATGTCCAGAGCAACGCTATTATCAAATCCACACTCTGATTTTCCATGTTTTTTGGATTTAATTTTACAATCCTTTTCAGTGATCTCTATTAGACTGTGTATATTTTTTTCTCTGGGCATCTTCCCATGCTTCTCACCTTTGGATGATTCTGAGCGGAATGAAGGACTTCTCTGGTCAGCCGTGGGCGATGCCAATTTGGGACTGTCACTGCCAGCCCTCAATGTTTGCTTTTCTTGGACAGTATGACCAATCAGTTTTCCTTCTTTTTCTTTAACACGTGTTAACTGCACCACACAAGGCAGAAGGTCTAACCTCGTTTTGCTGGAGCTATCCTTTGAAGTTTTACTCATCTTACCCCGTAGTACTGACTCAGGGCTAACGTCTCTTTCAAGTTCTGGTTCTATTTCCAACGTCTGAATGGTAGGTGATGTGACTTTGAGTTTTTTAAGCCTTTGCTTCTCACTTTTTTCTTTATCCCCTCGCTCTTTTCGCCCGGTTCTCTTCTCCTTTTCAACCACACTTGGTCTCTCAATTTCAAAACCACGGTCCTTCTCAGGTTTATCAGTTTTATTATATCTTTCGGCACGCACCTTTTCCAGTTTTTCAAATCTAGGAGGGGAGACTGAACTGCAGCTGCCACTTCTGTCAGATGATCGACAGCAAATCCTCCGATCTGAATCACTCGGTATTCTCTCAGAGAGTGAGGGCGATGCTGTGGGGCTGACGGGACGGCGAGTGGAGATGTGAGAAGGGCTTTGGCTGCGCTCTATGGTCCTCCTTCCATGATCGCGTCCACGATCTGTCTCAAAACGCTCCCTCTCTCTTTCTCGCTCCCGCTGCAAGTAGCTGTATTTACGGATGTCCTGTTCATAAGGATCAGCTCTGTATTCCCGATAATCTCTTGGGTCCTCAAAGTACTGGGAATCATAGTAATCCGCTTGATATGGGTCCCACTCAGTGTAGAACTCTCGACTTCTAGCCGGGTATTTCCTCCGTGGATCATCAGTATACGTTCCAGGGGTTCTAACATTTTCGTAATATTGTCTCTCTGTTTGAAACTCATATTGGCTTCGTCGATCATCTCTGCCAAAAAAAAAAAATCTGTTTAGTTTTAAGGATGAAACAGTATTAAGGACCAACTGTCCTGAAAAAACACAAATGATACAAACCTTCTTTCAGAAAGAAACTCATAAAACTCTCGAATATCTTGCCCAGAAGCCTGCATTGAACGATAAAAAGCCATCTGACTTTCCTGATTTGCAAAGTCCACCTAAAGACAAAAAACAACAGCCAGGGTTAGTTCACAAAGCGCCGAGATTAAAGGACACACTTTCATATTGTGATTTCTACTCTTCCACTCGCCTTGATTTTATTGCCCCCTATCTTCCAGCCCTTTGTGTCTTTGACAGCTGCTTGGGCATATTCAATGTTGTTGTACAGGATAAGGGCCATTCCTTTCATTCTGTCAAGTACTACCTATTAGCGAAAAGAAGAAACAAAAGAGAGAATGGTCAAATTTCTAAAAAAAAAAAAAAAAAAAAAAAAAAAAAAAAAAAGAGGGGTTGACTGTAGGGTTCCAGAATAAACTGGCTTACCTTGACAACATGCCCATAGCGGCAAAAATGGCGAGTGAGAAACTGCTCTGTTGTGTTTGCAGCCAATCCATCCAACCAAACACAAGTTGTGGGCATGCTCTTCCCAAAGCCCAGCTGAGAAAAAAAAAAGTTGAAATATCAGACTGGAAATTGGAATGAAATAGAATTATACAAAAATGACTAAATGAAATCCACATAAGTCTCACCTTCAGTCTGTTGTTACCAAGATACTCGCCATCCATCTTTTTCATGGCCTTGCAAACACTGGCAATGTCGCAGTATTGCAGAAAAGCATACTGTGGGGCTCCATTCACCTTCTTTATGTCGATGTCCTTAAGGAACAATAACAAAGAATATCTTTCAGAAAACACAGCTATGTTGGTATGACTGTTACTGAAAAAAATAAGATTAAAGTAAAACAACCTACCACAATTTCTCCAAAACGTTGAAAAATGTTTAGCAGATCATGGTAAGTGGTGGTCTTTTCCAGGTTTCCAATAAATAATGTCCGGGTAGCTTTTGGATGGAACTCATCAATCCTCTCGTCCAGCGGTCGGAATTCGTTTTCACTTTCTGTCTCTGTTAGATAAAGGTGTGTGAGCAAGAATTACATTTTTTTTGCAAAGTATAGATGTAAGTATAAATGTAAACTCACCTGGGCCATTCCAGGCTGTGACATCAATTTGCATCCCAAAAAATAGCTTCCCCTTGGAGGCGCCAAGTGCTTTCTCTTGGTCTTCTGGTTGGCGGAAAAAGACAAGCCCATAGCGCTCCTCTGAAGCTCCATGAATTTGAACAGATGTAACTTTTCCATGTTTTTTGAATTCATGGAACAAACCATCCTTAAGGCTTGTATCTGTAGCAAACAAGTAAAAAATGTCTTACTATGCATTACCATTTATTTAACATTCACTTGTCTACATTAGCAGGGCTATACCACGTACCTGTCGAGCGCACAGGAAGATTTTGGACCTTGATGCCAAAGCTTTTACGGGGTTCGTCCTTGTCAAGGGAGGATAATGGAAGAGCTGATGGCGCAGGAACAGCAGCCGACTGCACTGAACGGGCCGGGGAGTCATCACTTGAGCTACTGCTCGATTCACTACAGCAAAGCAAGCACATAAAATACAAAGATTTAATGCATTCTGCTGCCTTTTTAAATAAAAGCCTATGCTGTGTCATCTGGTTACTGACTTCAGGGAGTAGGATTGTAAAAGGAACTGCGTGCAAATAAGACTGAGCTTGAATGTCACTGTGTTGAACCTAACTGTAACATGGTTGAATAAAAATGAACAGCATTTCATTAAAGTAGATTTTTTTTTTTTTTTTTTGGTAATGTGTTAACATTGTTATGAATTATAGTGATGTAAATAACTGGGCTGTACAAATGCAACATTTTTGAAGTAATGCTTAATGAGAATACTCATCAGGAGAGCGGGCATCTCATTAGTTTAAATGAGTCAACTGGTGTTTTGATTGAATGAGTCTCGCTTTTCATTACTGAATAGCAGAAGCTACAAGGCATTTGAACGGAACATATAAAAAAAAAAAACATTGCTGGGTGCCATGCCTTATACTGGTTGGAAATGCATTAAGGATTTTTTTGTTTTGGTTCTTATATCACAGTGATGTTAAAATGCCATCATCTCACTTTGTAATACTGACAAAAAGACAAGGACTTTGTTTTCATTCTCTTCAAATTACAGTATGGAACGATTTTTAAAAAGTTGCATACTATTGGATGTCTAGAGGTCTGAAAGTTCTTGCAATGCGGTTAAAACTGATAGTGGCAAATAAAGAAAAATAACCATAATCCATTCTCTGTTAAGGGGTTATGATCAACTTTTCTATTCTTTATTTCATTTTTAAAAAATTGTGTAACCTGTGAAGGGGAAAAAAATGCAAAAGTGGCGAATTTCTGTCTGCCTCATGCACCTACTCAGACAATTCCCATGTCTGTCTCAGCTTTCTAGGCCCTCTGCTGTTTGTTTCCTTCTCACTTTCTCCTCATGTGCTCAGACGCTCCCGGAAGTGCCGCTGACGGAGCCTGGCCTGTGGGAGTGGGCAGGCAGCCAGCACTGGCCAGAAATTTCCAGTTCCAACTGGATCTCACGGAGGGGGGTGGGGGTGATGGGGGGGCGGTTGCAATTACCCATACACAGAGGTAGGCAGTGCGAAAAAGGCAGCTGCCATCTCCTGATATCCAACCCCTACTTCCCGGTCAAACCACATGTGTCGCTACATCTCTTTCAAAGCCCAGCCAGTAGTGAGACAGTCAAAGGAGAAAAAACAACTGGAGTGCAGCTAAATTCCCATGAAGAGAAATCAGGCGTTACTCTGATTTCAATCATTTTATAAAGCACTAAAATCACATTTAAGTAAACAACTTTAAAGCATTTCAATAATATAAAATGTATTATTACTCCTCTGTAATTTATTGTAATGTTTTTCCATATAAACACCAATCAGCTAATTAATGACAAAAGAAATTATTTTCTGTAATGACCTGTGCTATATTTCTGCATGAAAAAAGAGCTTCTGAAATCGACAACAAACATTTCATGGATTTTCCACGAGGCGTTTTGTAGTTGGGCCAAAGTTAACAATGATTTAGAGGTTGTGGCCATCGCTCCACACATCAAAAGCAGAGGGACACACAAACCTTTGTCCTCAAGCACCAACCCCATGAGGCACGTTAATTCACAACATAAACTTGGCTAATCAAAGTGGACTTTAGCAGCATGCAAATGTTCACGACACAATGTGCCATTAAAATAGTTAACCAAACACCCCTTTACAACTCTAAAGGAAATCCAACCAGCAATACAGACTAGAGTGAAAATATTTGGAAATCGGATACTGCATTTACGCAAATGGAACTCTAACTAAGGGTTTGTTTATTGTCATAAGAAGGATATTTCCATGGCATGATATGACTTCGGCTAAAATTCAGACCTCCGTATACCTCAAGTGAGGTATTTCTCCTGTAGCATCCTTAAGGTACCTTCCCTTTTTAATTGTGCCAAATCTTACAGACCCACCATTATGATAAATCAGTGCCGCCAACCGTGCACTAATGCACGATGATTTAAACTGCATTATGCAGACGACACTGGTATGTGGTTGTGATAACTCCTGAGATATACAGGAAACTGAAATGTTGCTATGGTCACTGTCACTGCCTTACTGTTGTTTGATTTAGTTAGAACACTGTAAAAAATCACAGCCAAAGATTGCATCAGAGACACAGCAGGGTAGGTTTCACCTTGACAAGCAAGACCCGGATCATAGGATCTTAGTATATAAGTAAATCTGCTGTTTTAGATTTAAGTTTTAACTGTAATGAAGACCCAATAATATAATCACCAAATATAATCATAAAATTTACCATCTTTAGGACACGTTAGAGGCATTAAAAATAAATGTAAAAAAAAAACATATTCTTTCCTTGTGTGTCCATTACTAAATAAAGTTTTAGGCTTCATGACTTGTTTAATCATGCTGCCTTCCTAATGATAAAGAAAGCATTAAACAATGTTACCTTTTGGACTTTAACAACTAGAATAAAGTTTTTATAAATCTTTATACATACTCCACAAAAAACAAGAAAATTTATTTTTTTCCAGCATATCTTTCCAAAAACAATGACTCCACTCTGTTGCTTGAAGTTCACCCTGGTTTGGGAGTTAACGGCATGTTCTTGACGCTGTCGGAGCGAATACATTTTTCTAATGTGGTGTCTGACAGCTTTTTTATCCCTGGGCCAACGTGATCCTAGCTAATGTGTCAAAAAACTTCAATTTTGCTCTATAAAGAATTCCCATGAATCCTCCATTTAAAATCCATGAAATAGCCATTCGGTTTATCGCATCTGGGATGGTGCAAAATAGAGTCGAAATGCAAGTAGTTTTAGCGGCTCAAGGTAAGCTAGGCAAAGTTTTCTCATCACCCTTAGAAACTTTGCCAAAAAAGCTGCCATAGCCTACAAACTATTCCAATGCAAATCTTTAGCTTCTTAGTGGCTAAGATCTGTCATCTTAGTTTAATGGGCAGTTTTTCTTCATTAATCCCTGTCATATGTATGAGCTAATGATCTTAAAGTCGTAGGGAAGCGGCTGTTCTAACCGTTGCAGTTCCAAATTCTCACGAGTGGTGCACGACTTTACACAACTGAATAAAGTGAATGTGATCGGGCGATTATCAAGGGGGCGGGATTGTTGTGGCGGAAAGTTCGCAAGCAAGTTTGGTTGTGGCCAGTTTGTCGGGAGCGTCTTGCTAACCAGTTAGCAACTTAGTACTAGTAGGTTCCCAATGGGAAATTCCATTGGGACCTAGTAGCACTAAATTGGTGACTTAGAAACGACACTGTTAAGGAACACTATGGACAGAGGAATCATGCAAGAGGAGGAGAGTTTTGTGTCGGAGGTTGTGGATGAGTCTCCTCTGTCATACATTTTCTATTTAGAGGAGGAAAGCGGGGGCAAAGTTGTTGTGGAAGAGGACGCCAGGGCGGCAGAAACTTGGTTTGGTGTAGAAGGCTTACAGCCGTACATGTTAGAGCCCTTGCCTCGCAACGCTGCCAGCTCTGTTAGCTCTAAGTCCTGCTGAAGACACAGTGGTCAATCCCCCTGAACACTGGGACGGAACACAATGGTAAAGTAAAAAATTTTTTCAACCATTGTGTATATTAGCTGCGACATATGAATCAAGATGCTATGACAGAAAAAAATTGATTAACAAATGACCGTTGATATATGATTGGCCAAATTTAGGTGTACAAGCTGACGTATAACTGGCCTGCATAAGATAAGTTAAAAAAAAAACAACACAGATTTTAAGACAGAATTTTTTTTAAAATAGAAATGTTCAAAATTTTGGGACAATATTGTCCAATAAAGAGTACATTTATATACATGTTCAAGCCAGAATGATTTGACATTTAAAAACTACTTCCTTACTACTTTAAAGCACTCATTTTCTTATCCAGGGTACATATAGATAACTTATCATACAAAGTAACATATTGACACCAACTGGATAACAGGAGACATGTTGAGCTTCCATGTCATTGTTGTCTAAAGACTGTCTTTACAGTCGTTTGATATGAGATTGCTTTTAGGCACCATTAGAATAAAGGTCATGACCTCCTGAAAATAGTAAGCAAAAAAACAACAATATACAGTTTAAACATGTCTATGTTAGTGAATACCTGCTTTTACTTAAAAAAAATGCATGCGAACTAGCAGAAAAATAACACCTAATAAATCTAAACCAAAATGTTATGATTTACTGTATATCTAAGATAGTTATATGTTTTTAGACTGTATGATTACATTAGTTGTTCTAAAACTGTGTAAATAAGCACCAAGGTTGCGGATGAAAACAGTTTTTCGTACAATTAATTTGTAAGACACTGTTTTACGTGACTCTTCACTGACTGCAGTCCAGTTTTAGACATGTTGCACAAGCGTGTTTAAAAATGGGACCAATTTAAATGAGGTCTTGCATAATTTCTCGTGGTTGACATTGGCTGATTCAAGCATTTTGTGAGAAAACAACACTGTCCTAAAATGAGCATACAATACATGATCGAATATCTTGGCATAAAGTTGAGTTTAATCTCACGAGAGACCGGAAACCTGAGGGTATATTTCACTCACCTGCCACTTGTACTGCTGCTGGTACTGCTGACTGAGTCTGAGCTGGAGGAGCGGCTGCGAGAGCCTGACCCACTGTGGGAGCGTGGAAGACGGGAAGCCTGAGTCACTAGTCTCTGAGGCGAGGGATTTCGCGAATGTGTTGAGTGTGGAGATCGGCTGCGGCTGTGACGGTACGACCTCTCCACCCGCCGTCCCCGGTCTTCCCGGTAAAGGTCCCTGTGAACCACACTGGCCAAAGTAAACGGTTCCCTGGAGCGAGACTCATAGCGAGGCTCTGGTGCCTCAAACCGACAAGGACTCCTGCTGTGGGAGCGGTAGAAGCCGACCCCGCTTGAAGTAGATCCTCCGCTTCCTGCCGTCGAGGCCCCTGCTGATCCAGCAGTTCCCGTATTTCCAGAAACAGGACCAACTATAGTTCCACTGACACCTGAAGACACAGCGGTACCACTTCCACCTGCGGTGCCAGACCCACTTACGGCATTACTAAGAGTCCTGTCTCTTGCGTCACGGTAATAGTCTGTTTCATAGTGCCGTTGACGGTCGAAACTGCTACCAGGGCGCTCGTGATGTCCGTAGGTGCTGTGATCGTACGGCCGCTCGCGACCCTCTGCAGTCCTAACAAACACGAAGAGAAACCCAAGTTACTTTGCAGTTTTATCATTCAAGATCGGTGGACAATCAACAATATAGGTTATATAGAGTAAGGGGTTGCCATAATTAGACACAGGGACAGACAGAGCAAAATGTTTGAGAAGGTTTTAAGAAAGATTTTTGCATTTCAAAGGGAAATGAATTATTGGTCTACCAACAAAACTAAAATAAATGTTCAATAAGCAACTGATAAGACAAATTATGATCAGGTCTGTTATCGCTTTTAATAGGACATTAGACTAAATTAGACCCATTTGTCTTCATATGGACGAATAAAATTGACTTTTTACACATTGTTATGTGTTTTGAGATTACATCTGAATAATTGATAATATATTAATCCTCTGATCTTGGCTGGCGAAGAATCAAAATACTTTGACTGTACTTTTTAATATTCAAATGAAAGGAATTTCAACACACCACACTAAACTAAGATTTGCTTTGTACATGAGACATTTCTTCTTAATGCACTACTACGAAATATTAGGTTATTTAAAAGGCATTAAGGAAGTGTTTAAAGATCATCTAATCATTCTGGTTTATTATATTCTAAACTAGAAAAAAGCCATTTTGACTTTTCGTGTAAATTTGCTGGGGATTTTCTTGGCCAACTGAACCAAGTTGTGAAAAAGCTGCACGGTTTTTACCTCTTTTAGTTTCTCTAACAAAAACAAAACTCTTCAAACCATTCTGTGTTATCTTCATTAAAAAATCCAGCAATCAGAATTGAAATTGCTATTACAAGTGCTGTGTCATTACGGGAGTCATATTACAAAAGTCTCCATAATAAGCGGGACAGGACAGCAATTATTGCTGTTTGAAATCAGATTTAATCATCAGCAGCAAATTAGCTACACTGGCGCAACACAAGGCTGAATTTGGTTTTATCCACAGACTCTAACTAAATCCATTTTAGCAGGAATTTCCATAACAAACTAGTGATCAATTCAGGTAGAACAGGAAAAATAAAAGGTATATGGAGTTTTTAAGGTTTAAATGCAATTTGATCATTTTGAAAACAAAACAACGGGGACTCCTTCATTATACAGAAAAGCCTTTTTGGCTTAAACAATCAATTGCCTACCCTACAAGTAAACCAATCCCAACAAAGCACTTATACAGACAACAATACTCTAGGGGTTAGCACTCCATATGGTATGCTATATGTAAAGAAAGTATTACATACAACCATATATACAAATAATTTTTATATCCTACGTGTTTTTAGGTTTTTTTACCTTAGTCCAATAATAGTGTAATTATTCAGGTGAAGTTTATCTCTACACTGTAGAAATCTAACTAACCACATCAATGCCTGGGCCTCTGAGGTATATTTATACTA